AGCGAGGAAAACGGGGAGCCTTCAAAAAAAAGAAAAAAACCCTGAACAAATTTTTCTGTTTGTTTTTAACTGATGAAATTTGTGCTTGCAATACGGTATTGCGGCACGGAGCTAGTGGGTGAGAAGCAGAGTGTGAAATTGAGAAGTGCGACACGCAACGCATTTCAATGTCCAAACTTGCAGAAAATAAACAAACAGCTTGAAGTCACACAAAGGGAAAAGCCTCCCCCATCCCCAATTCTCTTGTATTCATAGCTGGCATCAACTAAAATAACTGGGAGAGACAGTTTTAAGCTATTTTCTTTACCAGAGGTGGTTATCTAACTCGCCTATTCCTGGTCTTTACATAAGGGAAGAGCAATTTAAATTGTCTCAGCCACGTGACGGCCATGGACAACTCCAGGACGGAGCTTGGGATAGCAGCCACCGGACAAGAGCTACCCAAGGAGCTCGGGAGCTCGCAGGGGCCGCAGGAGTAATTAAGGTGGCAGGAGAGGGAAGCCAGTTTAAAGCAAAGTGCTGGCAGTGCCCGGTGCTTTCTGTTTCTATGCTGATAAAGGCAGACTCCTGCCAGCCTGCCTAGGGCAGCAGAAACCCTAGAGCCAGCCCCCAGAGAAGCGCTGCCAAGGTCAAACGAGCGAAGAGAAGCCTTCTTGGTCCGTCAGAGGCGATGGCAAAGTCCGAGTAACCGCAGAGGGTGAGTGCTGGAGCTGCCTGCAGAGCAAAACCCTGCCTGGGAAGGGCTGCAGGGGGATGGGTGGCAGGTCAGCCCAGTTCCCGACCCCTGCCAGGCTCAGCGGCGAGGCAGGGCTGGAGCACCACGACCCAGGGAAATAACGTACAAGAACAAGGCTGCCCTTTAACAGGCTCCAGAGGACTTGAAACCAAGCTGTTATCTCAAACCTACGAGAATATATTTATACCACTGCTTCCCAGATGGCTCCCTGGGATGCCGGCTCTTCCAAATCTCAACGCCGACATCCCAACTCAGAACTAATTACAAGGAAAAAAAAAACAAACCACAGATTTCCAAATATTTTTCCCAAAGTGGGCAACCAATGCCTGCTTTCTGTTTTCAGCAAGCGGAAAGATTTATTGCTTCTCCTGGTAAATATTGATCTCGATCCCGTTGCACTGACTCTACACGGCAGCTCAATAAGGAGAGATGTTTGCCTCCAGAGAAGTCAATTCCCAGTTATTAGTCTCGTTTTGCCAGCGAGCCCGCCCGATGCGGGCACCGTCACGGGCCTGGCTCTTCTGCCTGGCTGCATCAGGATGAGAAAGGAACCAGCTGCAGGAAATTTAAACCCCTTGCCGGAATGTTCCCTCCCCGCCTGCAGCTCCACGGCTCGGCTTTCCCGCAGAGCATGCCCAAGCCCTGCTGCACCACTTGCCCAGCGAGCTGAGCACCATCCAAATGTCTCCATCGAGCATAACCCACCCAAATCCACCCAAACCCACCCAGAACAGCCCTGCCTGTGAGGTCCCTGATATTTGTAAGTCATGAATAAGGATGGGAGACTCAAAAGAGGGATGGTGCTTTTCTCCCTTGAGGTGTCTTCTCCAAAATCTCCAGTATCTCCCCTGAAATATTTTTCCACAAGGGGAACAGCTTTTTTTCCTGTTTTTACAGCCCTCCTGCGGATGGGAGTCCCAGTTCAGGACCTCTCGGAGAAGGGCTCTGTCCCTGCAGGGTCCCCATCCCCACGGGACAAACCAGCCTCCACGGAGGCTGCGGAGATCGCGGTGCCCAAACTCGGCCATGCTGTGAGTTGGACAGCGAAAATCTGGCCTGGGGCAGAGACTCATCCCGATTCCCAGGCTCCGAAATGTGCTGAGGGAAGAGGGTACAACCTCGGAGATATCCCGGCCCCTTCGGTGGAGGCAGGGACAGGGGACAGCCTCTCTATCCCAGGGGACCTGCTGCAGCCTTGGGCTCCCCAGCATCCCGATCCTGGTTGCCAGAGGTGGCCATCCTCCGGCAGTTCCCATGGAAACTGGAGACAGATGGGTAAGGACATGGGCTACAAGATGCTCCCTGCTGCTTGAGTCCTGCAGAAAGGAGTGCAGCTGTACCCAGGGGAGCGTTGGGTCCAAATCTGGGTGGCATTTGTCTTAGGAAAGGGTGCGAGCAGGACACCTGGGGAGTGAATCTCTCAGACATCCAAACGCAACGGAACCCCTCAGACGAAGCCCTGTTCTGCAACTCCCTCGCTGTCCTCAGCAGAGAGGCACAAGGCTGTCCAGACCTATGCCCCACTCAGGAGGATGCAATATTGTCATTGGGGTTTACCTGGCCCCCAAAAACAGGACATAAACCTTCCAAAAGAGCTTTTGCCAGAGACTGCGTCCAAGCCCTGCCAGCTGGCAGGCGGCGGACACCAGCCTGGCCTCGAAGTGCTTTGGGCAGGGCTAACAACAATTAAATAGCTACCAGCGTGATTTCCCCTTTGATGGACAGGGTGGTCCCCAGTGGGTTCAAGGCAGGAACCTCTCCAGATCCTCCGGGCAGCAGCACAAAACCAAGCCCAGCTCTCATGGGGCAACCTGTAGCTGGGTAAGAGTCAGACCTGACCAGGGAACCTCAGACTCACAAAAGGTCATGAAAAGGCCCCTTTTTTATCCAGAGGTCTCAGCACACCTCTCATAACCCTTCACCAGACTGTGGGCATTCATTTGTGTTTGAAAAAGGGATGCATCATGTTCGAACAACTTCTCTGGGTGCACAGAGGCGCCCAGCAGCAGAATGGCGCCTAATGCACAGTCAGCACGTCCCCTGGAGCTCCTTGGAGGTCTCCCACCTAGGCAGTGATCTGCCTCAAGCCCTCCCCGGAGACAGGGAGAACTGGGGAAGGCAGGCACAAGACGTGCACACCAGCAAAGAGGGGGAAAGCAAACGTCTTGATGCGCTGATAGGGAGAAGAGGAACAGAATGAGGAAGAGTCAGCTTCGCTGCAGGTACCTAACGAGCCACATGGTTGAGATGACTAAAGCTACAGCATATAATTACCCCCCATCCCCTCATAATGAACACTCATCAGCACTCAACAACCCCCACCGCTCTCTAATATTCATCCCTCGTTGGCACGCAGGCACTTCCCCTCCCGCGTGGTACCTTGACGCGGTTGATGTTCACGCCGCTCATGCTTCTGCTGCGGTCTATGAGGAAGATAAACTCTCCTTGGGCTTTCCGGAGATCCGGCTGGACGGTCCTCAAGTCAGGGCAGAAGTTGAGCATGATGACGGGGTGGTGGGGGATGTCCTTGTTCAGCCGCTTCCTGATGATTTCCGTCTGCAGGAAAGAAGGAGAGAGCTCAAGAGGTTAATTATTTCACCCCTTTTCACTTCGAGGGGAATCAGAGCAGGGCTGCAAGACCAAAGATGGAAGCACGTGGCCTGTCGTGGGCAGGGATTGGCTTTTCCT